CAAAAAAGACTGGAATGCATAAATGTGGAAACTGTAATCACTGTGGCCACGTCTTAAGATCCAACACCTTCACGGATGTATTCAGCAAAAAGATTTACACATGCCAGAGCTTTGCCAACTGTAACAGCACCTACGTCATATACAGGCTTCAATGCGAATGTGGATGCTTTTACATTGGACGTACAAAACGCAAGTTTAGAGAGAGACTGGCTGAACATAAATGTGTCATCAGGACCAACAACGGACTTTACCCAATGGCTAAAGCTGCTGGTCATAGCAGTCCCAACTCCCTCAGGGGTGTGGTCATAGAGGTCATCCCCGAGGATCCACGGGGAGGAGACCCACTGAAACGACTTTTTCAACAAGAGATGTTCTGGATCCACACGTAGAAGGCCACAGTTCACCCTGGGCTGAACGAAGAGGTGGACTTTTCACCCTTCTTACAACTGTACACTGAAAAAAAAAGGTCGCTGGATTTGCGCAAAAAAGTTCTGGAAAGTGGTTGCATGCAATAAAATTATGTTTAGGCTTTGAAACTTATTTCGATCCCCTCTACGTAAATTTTTCTCAGAACATGAACGTCACTTTTTCATGTTGATAAAATTTGAACAAATCATGCTTAATATGCTTATCGTGAAATATATAAGTATGTATAATTTAATTTAATTGATCTAATTCTGTAAAATAATACAAAAACAGTCTTTAGTTTTCCACAGTTCTGTTTTGTCTTAAACAGAATCAAACACACAGAGACACACAAGTACAGAGACACACAGTTTGGAGCTGGACAGTGTGAAGATTTATTCCAGTGAAGAAGCTCTGGTCTCTGCCTGTGGACACAGAATAACACATGATGATCACATTCTGATCATCTACTCTGTTGTACATGTTTAAATACATTTAAAGTACTTATTACTACAATAATGGACCAGAACAGAAGAACAAGAACATTAGAAGTGTATCTGCAGAAACAAAACTCACCATGTGCTGCTTTTCTTCCTCTAAACACAGTAACAGGGAGGGCATCTGGTATAAAGTCTCCTAGTGCCACATCACCCTGTAGAAACACAATAACTGTTTCAATAGGAAGTTCATTTTGAAAAATTTATTTAAAATCATTTTAGTTGAGTGAGTTACTTTGTTCATCTGTGCTCTGTGTTTTGTTGGTTATTAAACATCTTCCTTTTTCCTGAAACATCAGCTGTAACATTCATGAACTTCCCCACAGCTCCAGCAGAGCTCTGGACGTCACTGTTTGTTTGTAGACGACTCTGGAACAAACACATTCAAATCTTATACAACTGTCCCACTCTTGTAGATGGACAGTCAAAGACAATTTGTTTCATGGAAACAGTTCTTACATTAACTCTAATTTCAAATGAAAACACCACAAAACATGTTTTAACAATGACGACATTCTAGTCCAGAGAAACATATAACATCTTTGAAAAGTCTCACCTCCAGATCAGCTCTGATAATCCTCCTGCTCCACACTGTGTGTCTCTGCTCCTGGATCTGTCCTGTGTCCTGTTACATTTGAATTTTCCCTCCAAAAGTTTTGGGGAGGAGAATTCCAGAGGGAGGAGCCTCACCACAGATTAGAATAAAGTCATGTTTCCTCAACCTGATTAAAACCTGCAGGTCTCACATCGGCCACAATCAAGTGACCTTTGTAAGATTTAAACATGCTGGACAGAGAAATGTAAAAAAGTCATGTTATTGTCAAATTTGTTTTTGCAATTTGAGCAACCCCTCTCGGACCATTCCATTTGAACAATTTGAACAATTTGAACTATTTGAACTATTTGAATTGTGTCCATATTATTGGGACCCATTAAGCCCCTTCATGTATGCTCTTATTTGCAGTACCTTTGTTTTGAAATCACTGGTGTTTTCTTCTTCATGATCCATTGAAAATCATTTTTGAAGTGTACTGTGCAATTGAAGGGATTATGTATTGTTGACTATACTCCAACCTCTACAGAACAGTGTGATTTATCTGTTGGGTTATGAAAGGTATGTTGTCAGTCTTGGGTTCGTAACCCCTATAAGCAGTGTTGGGGAGTAACAGATTACATGTACCGGAGTTACATAATCAGAGTACAAATTATGAGTAACTTATTCAGTTACAGTTACTGTTTCAGTGAGTGGTAATTGGATTACAGTTACTTTGTTGAAATAAATGGATTACATGGCGGTATTTTCCTGTTTACACATTTTGGGCTAAACCAGGAGTAAAACCAGGACTAAACCAAGACTAAACCAGGACTAAACCAGGACTAAACCAGGACTAAACAATATGACACTAACAGTAGGTGGACATACTTTAAGGCAGCAGTGATCTCATATAAAAATCTCTATCAATTATTTTTTTAATACGGTGAAGTAAAGACTGGACTTTCTCTTTTCTTTAAACAGATTTATCTTATGTTAAGATCCTCGTCTTTGCTTTTCTACAACAAACAAAAGTCTGTTCATGGAGACTTGGGCTCAACAGACAATTTGAAGAGAACAAACAAGAATGTTCAGGATGTGGTTTCTACATTCATGTAGTTTTAAAAAACATGACAATATCAAGTAATCCAAAGTATTCAGATTACGTTACTCACTTTAAGTAACTTCATGGATTAAGTTACAAACTACATTTTAGAGTGTGTAATCTGTAATCTGTAGGGGAATACATTTTAAAAGTCACCTTCCCAACACTGCCTATAAATGGTCACACCTGCTGCTCATTCAGTTCAAGCTTTCAAAAAAGCCCTGATGAAGACCAAGTAGTCGAAACGCGTTGGTGAGACTTTTAATAAATTCACCGCAAATCAGAGCCTCTTCCATCATTTTTCTAATTTAGGAGAATCTAACCCTCTGGTTTGATGAGCACCTGTATGTGTACGTTTTTTGATCCAGTGTAGCGCTCCAATTTTGTTATTTCTATTTAACATAATTACTTTCATTTTTTAGGCCTTGTTCTTTTCTTTTCTTTATTTTTTTTACCTATTTGGACTATTCAAGTGAAGTAAAAACCGTAATATTAAAGGTGCACTGTGTAACATTTCCAGTGGAGGGTCTGTCACTGGCTTGTCTTCATGGAAATGTTCTTGCTTTGTCTAGAATGTTCCACAGCCTATCTATCACAAGAGAGGCGAGCAGGTTACAGCACTGCACTGCATGACAGGTCAGATCTGTGGAGCGTCGCCCCTATTCAAAGGAATGATTGTATTTGAGCAATAAAACACACAACACAACAACAGAAACGGTCATGAATAAATGCTAGATGGAAATGTTTAAAATCATACCATGGAACATTCAAACGAAGTAATAACATCTCCATGGAAACAAGCAGGTGTCAAACTCTCACTAAATGACATAATAGTTGTGATTAGATAAATAAAAACAAATGACAACACATACAGTATATGTAGTTAAAGGTGCATTGTGTAACTTTTCTGGGGTTTATTAAATGCTTTTCTCCATGGAGATGTTATTGCTTTGTCTGGAATGTTTCACAGTTTTGCTTTAAAGATTTCAATCTCCATGGAGACCAGGTCAGATCTGTGGAGAGGCGACCCCGCTCACAGTCACAATCTCTGTTTTTCTGGGTATTGTTTAGCTCTAAAACCACCTGTAATTGAATAAATATTAAGTAGAGCTGTATAATTTCACACTGTGGAACATTCCAGGCCGAGCAGTGACGTATCCATAGAAACAAGCAGATGACAAATGCCCAACCGAAAAGTTACACAGTGCATCACAGTGTAAAAAAAGTCCTTTGTGCGTAAATTGTGTGTATTTTGGGTGGAGTTTTCCGTGCTGCTGGCGTTCTGTGATTGATTCTGTTTTATCAGTGCTACTTCCTCTATTTTTGTACTTTTCTTTCAACTTTTTCCCCCAAACTCCCACTTGACTGATCAAAAACTCTGATTAAACTGACCACGAGTCCTATCCACATATAGAACAACAGATAAACCTGCCACATAGACTTGAAAGAGCAGGTCAGGTTCTAATGCAGTATCATAACCTGTCAGTCTTTTTTATAAATTACTTTGTTTTCTGTCAGGGCAGGGGTCATGAACTCAAATATGTAATCAAGTGAAAGAGTGGCACCTCCAAATGGACAAGAGAAGATAGTGCAGATAATGTTGTAGTTCATCTAGTCCAGGAGTCTCCAACCTGTAGCTTGGGAGTTCCCAGTAGCTCTCCACCTCCTTCCAAGCAGCTCACCAAGGGATTTCTGAATTATGCATATTGCAGTGAATAACTCCAATTTGATAACCTTTTCCATTGTAAATGTATCTTGTGTATTATGTATTTTGATGCCTATTTTTGTACACTGAATACTGGATAATGGGTTATGTATCTTAAGCATAACTGTACCTCATCTGCAGCCTGCCATGGCTCTTGAATTTACTACATTTCTAGCAACTGCTAAAATGAGTAACTCTCTGGGGAAAAAGGTTGGAGACACCTGCTGTAGTCCCATTTTCTTTAGTCAGAATCATTCACTGTGGTGTGTATCACGTTTACAATATAGACCCATGACTATCTAACTGTTCACACCAAAACCCACCAGGTCTAAACCAGATCTACAATATAAGAGGATTATTTCAGGCCTAATCTATCTAGGACTCAACCAGGCCTATAACAGGACCATTCCAGGTATAGGGCTAAACCAGGTCTAACCCAGGACTAAAACAGGTCTATAATGAATTTTACATATTGCGCTGAATAGCAAACATCTGATTAAATGCCCATTACCAGTTATTTACTCAATTTCATACAACCACCAAAATGTGCTCTGGTATTTTTGCTTTATAAAGGATCTCACCAGAGGAACAAATCTGGAGAGTCCTGGATAATACACAAACACAAAAATGTGCAGTGTATTAACAGCAATAGACCTACTTTCTGCAACTGCTCTAGAATTTTTTTGATAACCCAATGATAGCACAATAATGATAATACAGGTTTAGGAATCAGTTTATAAAAATGCACAAGAGAAATTCAATGTTTCAAAACTCTTTATTTGAATAATGTCGCATCATGAACTAAGTGGTTTCCAGTAGTTCCTGACTCGCAGACTCTAGTTGGACGTCCACACTTCAGGTCAAACCGCAACCTCTGCAAAAGAGAAATGTAAATGATTAACTCCATGGTAGAGTGAAATAAAAACACTTTTGAGACAGCAGAACCGAGAAAAGACTGTCCAACTTTTTAAAGGCTTGCTGCAGATCTCATCAACAGTTTTAGGAAATATACTTTCTTCATATTTACACAGACAAACCAGACTTTCTAAATAAAGTTATTTGTTGGAGGAGAACCTATAACCGTGGAGCGGAGGAGCGCCACACAGCCTCAAACTGCCTCCGTTTGTCTGGCAGCGCCCCCTAGAGGATCAGACACACACAGACTGAACCTCCACACACACAGGGACTGCCTTTTTGAACTAATACGCTTAAAGAGAGAAATGGATCAGAGATTTGGACATGACCCCACAGCTACACTAAAACTACACTGATTATTACAAAAAACTCACGCACAATTTATGCTGCTGTGCAAAGATCTACAGTTTCCATTAATTACACATCTACAGTGACAGTGCATAAAGCTGAGGAAACACTGCTAGCGAAGGCCAGTGGATATGAAAGAATGACTCTGTGTTATATTCATTTGCATAGTAATGACTGCACTTATTATATAATGATTTAAAACTCACAAGAGTCAACAGACCCAAGGATCTCAAACCCTGCAAAGTTCAACCAGAACTATTCCAGGGTTAATCTGGGACTAAAACAGGTCTGTAAACACGACTACTCCAGGACTGGGTCTATGCCAGGTCTAAACCAGGTCTATTCTAGATCTAAACCAGGTCTATTCTAGATCTAAACCAGGTCTATTCTAGATCTAAACCAGGTCTATTCTAGATCTAAACCAGGTCTATTCTAGATCTAAACCAGGTCTACTCTAGATCTAAACCAGGTCTACTCTAGATCTAAACCAGGTCTATAACGCGACTATTCCAGGACTAGCACTAAACCAGGTCTAAACCAGGACTAAACCAGGTCTGTAACAGGTTTGCTCTAGGACTAAACCAGGTCTATTCCAGGTATAGGTCTAGACCAGGTCTAAACGAGGCCTAATCTAGGATTAAACCAGATCTATAACAGGACTATTCCATGATAAATGTTCTGGTACAGTCACATTCTGACATTGTTCTAAGTGTGAGATTTTAATCCTTCATTAAAGTAAACGGTTTGTTGTCCGGATGGTTTTGAGATCAGAACACGCCACACGTTTTCACTTTAACGCTCTTCTCACCAAACATCCTGCATAATGAACGACACTAAATCAAACCTTTGGCGTTTAGAAGCCCTTTACTTAAGTTCCCAAATGATAAAAAGCTTTGAACAATAAGGATGGAAGCAGATTGTTAAAGTTTTACCTCAGAGCTCTCGGTCCATTCACTCAAACAGGAGGCGCACACCGGAAGTGACAGAGGGCGCTTCCGGGGGAGACTTTATACACGAGGACGTCCACTAGAGGGAGACAACACTCCACCAGAAACAAGAGAAACAAAAGGCTTGAAAATGATGATTCTAATGTTACATGTTCTAATGAGAATGACATTAAAATAAAATACTAAAATTGTGCAAAACAAATGACTTTTATTTGTTTCAAATAAAATAAAATTAATATGACGGGGAAAGATGAGTATTTGTATAGACCCAGCCAGTCACACTGCACAGGGATTTAATGTCACACAAATATGTTTGTTTGTTTTTTGTTTTGTTATCTTAAAAGTTACTTCCTCACATCTATTGTTTATTTAAAGCGACAGTATGTTACATTTTTCCATGGATTCCAAGGATTTTGTGATATCTAATTCCAAGTCTGATTTCTGCATGTTTTAACTGAGAAAAGTAGGCACAGTTTTTATTTTAGGCAAGTTTTTGATCAGATCCAGTTTACTCAAATCCTAAAGTACCTCTGTATATTTTCTTGTGTCTAGCAAGACATTTAAACCTGCCTCTTTTCATGTTTCTGTTTTGAATGTCCCAAAAATGTAATTTTTTACACATAAAATGTCAACATGACACAATGAAAATCTTATAATCCATGTTGTTGTTACATTTCTGTGAGTAAACCACAGCAGAAGTTTCAAACTGATAAATGTAAGTTTTGTTCTTGTTCACCTGCAGTGTCTGTCCTGACAGAAAGAAATCAGTTTATAAAAATGGACATTTGCTGTGACACTGAACTGAAAGTGTAAAGGTGCACTGTGTAACATTTCTGCTGGAGGGTGTTCTGTTTTAACTGGAATGTCCCACAGTGTGGCATTAAACTTAATCTTGTACTGATTCAATTACAGGTGCTATTATTATGAAAAACTTGAAAACATGCTCTTACTGTGAGCGGCTTGCCTCTCCACAGACTTGAACCCACCTGTTTGTTTCCATGGAGACAGTGATAGACAGGTTTAATTGTTTAATAGACAGTTAGTAGAGAGTTTGTCCAATGATCAGGAGGTTGGTGGTTTGAATCCCACTCTCCACATCATTGGTTGAACGTCAGCAGTGTTGGGAAAGTTACTTTTAAAATGTAATCCCCTACACATTACAGATTACATACCCCAAAATATACTTTGTAATGTAATCCATTAAATTACTCAAGGTGAGTAATCTGAATACTTTGGATTACTTGATTTGCTGTAGAAAAGCAAAGACGAGGATATCGTATCATAAGATGTTTTGTCTGATAAAAGAAAATAAAAAGCCCAGACTTTACAGAACCAAATTAAAAATATTATTGATAGAAGACGAGGAAACACGTCCACACAGCAGGATTTAGTCCTGTTAAATCCTGTTTGAGACATAGTTTAGACCTGGTTTTAGACCTGGATTTAGACCTGGTTTAGACCTGGTTCCGGCAATGAGTGGAATTACCGAGGAAAAAAAAAAAAAAAAAGGGATATAGTCCAAAATGTGAAAACAGGAAAACACCTCTGTGTAATCCATTTATTTCAACAAAGTAACTGTAATCCATTTACCACTCACTGAAACAGTAACTGTAACTGAGTTACTGTTTACAGTTACTCATAATTTGTACTCTGATAACGTAACTCTGGTACATGTAATCCGTTACTCCCCAACACTGAGCGTCAGATCTACTGAGCTGAGGGTTGGTGGTGTGATTCCATTGTGTCCTTGGGCAAGACACTTAACCCACCTCGCCCCAGTGTGTGTGAATGTGTGAGTGGTTCTTTGTTGTAAAACATTTTGAGTCTTGAAGGTGGAAAAGCTCTGTATAAAAATATGACCATTTATCATTTACTGACTCACAGGTTGGCAGTGCAATTCTATCTCCTACAGATGAAGGCTGTGTCTTTGGGCAAGACACTTCACCCACCTCTCCCTCAGTGTCTGTGTGCGCTGGTGGATGAGTGTGTGGGTGAGTGCTGTAAAGTGTTTTGAGCCCTGAAGGTGGAAAACCACTGTATAAAACTTTTACCATTTAACTTTATATTTTGGAATCATGTGGCCTCCAGAAAAGTGACCTGTTGTTGCTTTAACTCTTTGATTGTGTTAAACTGTGGCATTATTTGTTCAGATTCATGTGATCTTGTCCCTGTTGCTGCTGCTGTTTCGGTGGAGGAGGTTTGCTCTGAACAGCTGATGTGGGAGAGAGCCGTGACTCACTGCACACCGCCACAATAAGAGCTTTGTCATAAATCATCCGCCCTGCCACAATAAAAGCTTTATCAAAACTATTCACAGTCAAAGCTTTGTAATCAAACACCCGTCTCCTTCACAATAAGACGAGACTGTCATTCACAATCGGAGCTTTGTGCGCGCTCCCACCGACCCTTCACAGTAAGAGCCCATGGGAGATCAGCAGACTGTGTGTGAGCGGAGACGTCACACACACACACACACACACACACATACGACAAGTGCTCAAACAGAGATGACATACAGGCTTTCTTTAGATGGATTTTGCTTTCATTTTGTTCAGTTTTTTCTGTTTTCTTGTCAGTTTAGTCTCTTAAACTCCACTTTTTCATGTGGAAACAACTAAACTGTCCACAGCCCTGAAACATTTTAATATTTTATTTAATCAACCTGCCTTTGTAGAGTTATATGGGACATTGTCACTTCAAATGTTTTTTTTTTCTCCCATAGGCTTTAAAACAGCACCTCCACACACCAACTTCACTGTCTTGTACTTTGACTTTGAAGAAATGTGCAGAAAGATTTTGATCTAATTAAAAGTCTTGGTTTATTAAAATTTAAACTAGGACAGTTTAGACAGAAGCTCAGTTGGTGGAGTGTTTGTCCACTGATCTGAAGGTTGGCAGTTGGATTCCTGCTCTCGACATAAACATTATTGGTTGAGCGTCAGATTCACTAAACTACAGGTTGGCTGGTATTGTGTCCTTGGGCAAGACACTTCGCCCCCAGTGTTTGTGTATATTGGTGTATGAATGTGTGTGTGCATGTGTGCGTGTGTGTGTGCGTGTGTGTGTGTGTGTGTGTGTGTGTGAATGGGTGATAAAACGCTTTGAGCCTTGAAGTTGGAAAAGTGTTGTATAAAAAATGTCACAATTTAAAGTTTAATTTGAAGTGTATTTTGCAGATCTAGTTTACTCAAATCCTAAATATGATATTCAAACTCCCCTCTAGATGTTTTAGTATCTAACATGTCCAAAAAAAAAAAAAAAAGAAAGAAAGAAAGACATTTAAACCTGACTCTTTTCATGTTTTTGTTTTGAATGTCCCAAAAATATAATATAATTATATAATATATATATATATATGTTTTTACGCATAAAATGTCTTATTTTTATATGAAAACATCACATGATGAAAAACTTTGTAATCCATGTTCTTGTATTTCTGTGAGTAAACTACAGCATCAAACTGATAAATGTAGGATTTCTTCCTGTTCACCTGCAGTGTTTTAGATTATGCTGGCTCAATTTCATTTCTCTCCAGCGACTAGATCAGGAATCAGAATACACCAGACGATTCACAAAAACCCCAGAAGTGCAAGTTCAGGCACCAACCAATCAGCAAAGAGACATATATTCCTGTGTTGTCAACAATTCCCGAGATCAAGGGTTTAAAGACTGAACAAAGAGAATGTTTGGTGAATTTTATCAAGGGGAAAGACGTTATTGTTCTTCTTCCTACTGGGTTTGGGAGAAGTTGAATATACCAGTTAGCCCCGTTAACGGTGCATTACATATGTCACAACCAAATAACAGCGATTGGTTAAATGATAAAAAATACCCACCTACTGTCAAGTGAACAAATTCTAACACTGTAAATTCAGACGGTGAAACTGGCTGATGAATCAGGCTAGCAGTGTCTGGCGTTAGAGAAAGAAATCAGTTTATAAAAATGGACATTTGTTGTGAAACTGAACTGTAACTGTAAAGGTGCACTGTGTAACATTTCTGCTGGAGGGTGTTCTGCTTTGACTGGAATGTCCCACAGTGTGGCATTAAACTTAGGTGCTATTATTGTAAAAACATGAACTCTTACTGTGAGTGGCTTGCCTCTCCACAGACCTGAGCTGGTGGTGTCACCTGTTTGTTTCCATGGAGACAGTGGCAGACAGGTTGTTTAATAGACACTTAGAAGAGAGTTTGTCCAATGAACAGAAGGTTGTAGTTTGAATCTCTCGACATAAACCTCATTTGTACAGAGGCCAGATCCACTGACTCACAGGTTGGTGGTTTGATTCCAGCTCCTACAGATGAATGCTGCTGTTGTGTCCTTGGGCAAGTGTGTGTGTGTACTCTGTTGTGTCATAGTGCGTCTTTAAAGGAGATCCTGGAGTGCATGTTTGTTTTTCATTTTAAGAGAAAGGTTGGAGAGTTTTCCTTTCGTGCGAGAGACTGAACCGTGAATTGTCCAGAGTGTTCTCGTGTAACTAAAGCTCTATTGTGGGACTTTTCTGAAGCCGGCAGACTGGGGTCACCTGATCTGAGCTCTCAGGCCGAAGAATGAACACGAGGAGATAGATTTACTGGGAAACTCTCTCTCTCACGCAAACACACACACACTCCCTGCACACACACACACGCATGCAGACACACACTGCCTTCACACACACACACTCCCTACACACATACGCACACACACCCAGAGGAGAGGCTTATGGTGACCTTGAGTTTGCACTGAAGGATTACCACCAGGAACTATTTGAAGAATGTAAAGTTTGACCTAAACCTGTGAGATCATGTTACTTCACAAAAAAACAGATACAACTTAAACAGAATTGTACTGACTAAGGATGGGTGTTCAATGAAATTTTCTTAATCGATCGTCGGAAGAATTAACGATCGATTATCGAATAATCATTAAGGTTTTTATATTAAAATGATCATCATTATTATTACTATCTCCACTAATCTGCATAAATAAATTCAACTTTACGACATATAAACCATAACGACTCTAGAGCCACATCAGCCC